TCACAACTCAATCATCACAATGAATAAACACACGGCAAACTTTAAGATTTTCTAATGAGTAAAAGAATATATCAGGGAATTCAGTAACTATAAATAATCAAGAAATTATTTCAATTATTTAATTAAGGAGATAATCAAGCATATAATTTATAATTTATTTTATTTTATTTCTTTACATATCTTATTATAAGGCTATGTAAACTATACATGAGTTGAATGTAACACATATCAAACTATCGAATAACATCATATTGTGTTCTAAATTTCTTCTTAGTTGAAGACCCAAAATACCTTATAATAAATTAAAAAAAAAACTTTGTAATTTTGGTTTCATAGATTAAAGTAAGGTGGGTTTATGTAGTAGTTTCTCCATGAGAAAAGCTTGCATTTCTCAGCAATTTAAATTTCTCAGTCTACAAGGCTGATCTCTCTAACTTGATTCGTAAATTAACTGAGCGTCATAGGCCTGTATTTTGAACATGTATTTAAGCCCACTCGGAAATAAATTAACTGAGCGTCAGCAATTATCTTTTAATTTTCTAGTTTTTGCACCTTTTCAGCTGTAGTTTTAGTTACTTATAAAAGAAATCTAGCTATAGTTTTTCAATTGGAGTCCGGTTGCTATACTGGAATAATTTCCAAAATGTTTTATTCGCGCAACTATCTTAACGGAAGGAAAAAATTAAATAATAATTTGACCTGTAGCATGCACGTAAGACACCCAAATGTGCCAACGCCATTGTCTACTTGTAGTAATTGAAAATCCAACAAATCCACTTCGCTAATCGTTGAAACTTGAAATCAATTATTTTTCATCAATTATCTTAAGGTTTAATCAATGGGAGGAATCGACCCTTGATCATAGACATAGAAATACCACCATCTCTGGAAAGAGTCAAAGTCTTCTTTAAATTTCAGTGGAAAGTTGGGAAATCAACTCCCATTAGCTGCCTTAATTTTTGATTTCTAATGTCTTGAGACTCAAACATGGGTCCGTTAAGATGCTTATTCTGGGTTGGTGGTTTAGTTAAGCCGTTACATAAGAGATTAAGTTACATGAATGTGGGGCTTTGCGGATTTTTTGAGTAGCTTAAAAGGAATTCAGAGATGGCAAAAATCATATTTATGTGCACCAGACCCCTTCGCCTTCGGCGTTTCCTTTATGGCTTTTGCATGAATGGCAAATAACATGGCCTGTGATGCTTTGAGAGCAAGCCAAAACAGGAAGCTTTAGATGGTAAAAAGAGTTGGTGGGGTGTTGGGATCAGCCATAACCACCCATCATCATAATTACTCAATCATATTTTGAAGATGCTGAAATACTGTTTATTGCAGCACCTACCATGCTATATATGTCTCGAAAGGGCAAATACTAAAGGCCTCGTATATCTACCACGTTTTGTTTAGTTCACGCTGGCACTGAATTTATTAATTGCTCTGGTAATGGAAGTTAGATCGATGATCTGTTTCATGTCATTATTCAATAGTAGCATTTGCTGGGAAATTTATTTAAGAAATGGTTAGTGTGTGTTTTAAATTTCAAATTAAAAGTAGGATTTACTCATTCTTAGGGTTAGAAATAAGTCATTTCAGAGAGGTTCCTTGGTTCATTAAATGAGTAACAATAAAACAACTTTTCAATGACAAATAATTAATAATTAACAACACCACAAAATTCTCAGATTGTTTATATTTTAAGAACTTCAAAAAATAAATGCACTAAACTAATTTTGTTTAAATATATTTTTTATGCATGATTAATACGCATACTTGGCTTGTAATGTTTCAACTTTTTATACAAGTTTATACATATTTGTTTAATATGTATACTATCTTTGTTTGATTACAAGATTATCATGTTCTTATATATATATATATATATGGTCACTTGGTTACTTATCTAATATATCTTGGACAGCAACATTTGATTTCTTGCAGTTCACGTAATTTGTCTGTAAATTAACAAGTAATTACAGGAAATTGACACTTCAGCCAAAAATAGGAGAAATCCTCGGAGATTGACGTGATGGTATTCTTTTTCTTTGTTATGCAAAACGCCCAAGCCCAAAAACAGAAAGTTACGATCTGATTAGTTTATGTGATATAATTAGTCTACCAATACAAAAAAGAGAAGGTCAGTATACTAGGGAGAGTTTTAAGCCTATGAACATCTCACCACTTTTATTAAATTAAATTAAATCCATATTCTCCATTGTCAGATCAAATGAAAATCATTGACGTGTAAACATAAGCTAGCTAGAAAAATAAATCCCACCACTCATCCATTTGGAGACCCTCATAGGGAAATTCGGACCCAGCAGGCAAGCAAAAAACAAAAGGAAAAATGTTCTTAAATATAAAATCAAATACATGCATATAGAGATAAGGACGTGGTTTATCTAGCTATATGCATTATAGGTGGGTTATTACAAACAGACAAAGTGCACAAAAAGAACAATTTATACAAACAAATTCTCTCAGTGTTGAGGCTTGCGTTATAATTGAATCCATGCATGGTCTCTCCAACATTACTTCGTCAACAGCGCAACAAACAAGTGGTACAATTGTCTTATGCAGGATGCCCGCATCGTCTTACTTGGAACATTATGTTTTTGATTAGGAAGACATTTTGAAACATTTTAAAAGACCAAAATTAGAGTAGTGGCTTAAACTAATAGCAGTGATTCCACCAAAAAAACCCCAAGGAAAACAGGCCAAGCATGCAATAGGGGGATTGCCCGGTAGACGCCATCGTCGTTGCCAAGTTCTCTCTACCTGACAACTACTGGAACTATGTATTAACATCGTAATATAATTTGGCCGGAATTGCAGTTATTCATGATTCGAATTACATTTGATTTTTTTTTTCATACTTACAGGCAGAGTTGAGCTATGTATTCTTGGACGTCAATCGATGTTTTCTCGTGACTTATACTGTCATGACCGAACTGTAGCTGTAGCGGGCAACACCTTTACGACACATCAAGAAGGAGTCGTATTTTGGGACCATGTAGAACCGGCGGTAGATCAACATCGAGCACTTGTGATTTTAGTAATGCAAGACAGATATTTTTAGTAATGAAAGACAGCTGCATTTGCGTGACGATACATTCACAAGTCACACCTTCTCTTGGACCGTATGTTTCTTAGTATTATCAAGTAAGAGTACCAATATACGTATCTATCAAGGTAATTAATAAGATTCCCCGAGTATAATTACACTTTTATAATTAGCAGAAACAATACACCTTTTTTTTTCATGTTCAAGGCGAGTCAAACTCGATTCTTAATTAGTCACTAGGAGTAGGTTTTTGATTTTGATTTTCTTTTTTCAGGTGGGGGTGGGCAAGTTAGAGAGGAATATATGTTATAAGAAAATAATTCATACAAATTGAATAATTGGTGTAGAGGATACGTTTTTTCATGCTTACTATCATTTATTATCTTTAGAACTTATAACTTCTAATTAATGTTTTGCCAAATTAATTTTGAGAAATTTGATATGATTTGAGGTTTGTAAAGTGATGAAAAACTTCACATGATAATTGGGTTTCATGGTTGTGTCATGAGGTGGTGACTAATAGGTTTTTGTCCTTAGTTCGAGTGGTTCAAAATAAACCCTTTGTGGGTAAAGGAGACACTCCAATACTTAATTAAATACACACGCACAGGAGGAGAAAATAATATGCAATAAGAGAAAGTATAATGAAAAGTATATGAATTGTGTATTTGTATATTATGTATTTTTTTCTATAAACTTGTATGATTTGTTGTATGGTTGATGGCAGTTCTTGGAATTATTATGAGGTTATTAATGCTCATGTATGAAATGATTTCCCTGGCTGATATGGTGACCAAAATATTTATATGTAGTGGTCACGTCTGCTTATCTTGTATGTTGTAGTTGCAGGTATTTCGGATGTTCGTGGAGAATGAAGTTATATAATTGGTGAAGGCTGTAAGGCTTGCTATGCTTGGTAAAGAAGATGATTGCCAGAGATAGGAAACAATCTTTGACATAGAAAAGTGGTGCTCGCTCTGCTTAAAAACAAAGAATTTGTATACTGCGTAGTCTTGGAAACTAAAAAAAGCTTAGAGATGTGTGCCGATACATGGATAACCTCCACTGGAAATTAAGCAAGAAAATGAAGAAAAAGAAAGTGAGGGAAGGGGAGAAAAGAGAGAGAAACTCCAGCCGTTTCCCCCAAAAGGCTAGAGTTGAAGCTTAAATGACTGGAGTTTCCGGCCACCCCAGACGGCGTAGCAAAGTTTTTTTTATTTTTTTGAATTTTTATGTACCACCATAAAGCAAAAATGATATCCCCGATATTCCGTGTCGCCCTTGCTTTGCATAAGGATTGATGGTGAGCTACAGCCCAGTTATAATCATAATTTAAATATTTACTTTTTGCTTCCAGGAATCATTTAGGAAGAGGAGAGAAAAAAACAGGGTGCTGATTATAACTCGAGGAATGCAATTATGTATCTAGTAAGATGACAAAAGTGAAAGGGTTGTGGATAATGATATTGAATAGGCCTTGTAAGGACCGGTGTCCACACATAGCAGAAACTTAAATGTGACGTTGGAGACTATCCCTGCACAGAAGAGAGCCCACAAGGAACACGAAAGGAACACCTCCATGTGACCATGTGACCGGAGTTTGGGGATTGGCAAGCAATATACAAAACAGCGAAGCACAAGCAAGCTTCAGACATCAACTAGATCCAAATCCTCATTCCCAAAGCAAGGTGCCCTGCCCCTCCTAATGTGTTTCTAAAAGATGAAGGTTTGATTTGATTGCTAATCGTTTCGAATTTCGTAAGCCCCAAATACCTTCCAATTATAACTTGAGGGGTTTGATAAAAAGTTCTGCAATTTGCAAAGTTCGGCAGCCAGAAGAAATTTTCTCGTTCCCTAATTCACGCTTGAAACAACGTCAGATAATTGAACTAATCAAACACCATTTGCAATATTATATATACAAGGAAAAGGGAAAGAAGATTAGAAATGTTTTTAGGAATCCTTAAAAATTATGACCCAATATTTTTAGATTCAGATCAAGGCTTCTCACACATCATTAAAATAAACAATCAACTAGATTAGTTAAACTACTGCATCAATATATATATATATATATATACGGATACGAAAGGGATAATGATAGTCACTTGTGTGCTGTACAGTAGTTGAGGTATATGCTATCATCAAAGCTCCACTCTTAACCAGCCATTAATCCAGATTCCATGCTCCCCTCTTAAGTGCTTCTTCTATGCTCACCTGCAAGATGGCGTTCTCTTCCAGTTTTGCTTTGACTAGGCGCGTCAGCATCGGAAAAACTAAACCTAGCCCATTATGCAGATCTTTACCATCTTAACTAATTGACCGCCTGCTTTTCTTGTAACTTCTTAGTTTGTGTTTTGCTCAGTAAATGAAAGAGAAATCATGATGAACAGATTTTATCAGTTAAAACGAAGAAAAACTGTCGCATTGTACGGTCAAATTCTATCAAACCTCTCGATAAAAGAAATGTTTTTCCTCCAAAAATTGATGTGTATTTCTTATCTTCATACTATTATGTTCGCACAAGAGCGAAAATACCATCCCTCAACCAAAAAAAAAAAATGAAAAGAAAATAAAAGAAAGCAGAGATATACAAGGCAAATAAATAAATAGAGGGTGTACCATGGTTACAGAATCTCGCCTTTCATTTGCTGTCTTCCTCCTTCCTGTCTGTAGCTACTTGCCAGACAGTCTCCTTATTCTGTAATTTACATGTCGAAAACCTAGCCATACTTTATTAACGAATCACCAATAAAATCCAAAAAACCAAAACACAATCACACGCATACTTTGTCCTGTCTACTGTTACTGCTACTAGTCCTCTCTTTTTCAACTATCTTTCTTCACTTGCTTGCTTCCTCCCTTCCTTAATTCCGTGTCAAGATGCAGCCTTAACTGTCACCTCCACTTTTCGCTCTCTCGCTCGATTATTCACCAAAATGAAAAGGGTCTTTATCATCTCACCCCACCTCAAAAACCATATCATCATCTCCTCCTCCACCAAACTTCTCCACCACCCCCTCCATTCTTCTCACCAAATCCCTTCTTTCGTATTACTCCATTAATATTAATAATTATTAAGTCTTCACCTTCCCCGTTTTAATGAATAAAATATATTCCATCCCACACTCCTCGCAATTATATCACACTCACTAGCTCGCCATTTTTCTAAATAAATAAAAAAACACATTCAACGAAAATGACTCGGCTTTTCCGATCCAAATCTTGCGGACTCGTCGGACTCACCGAGTCCAACTCTGCCCCCCCTCCAACTCCCTTCTTTCACCGAAACGGCACTGAAGACGGAGAAGAGGACGAGGACGAGGATGATGAAGAAGAATCATATAGTGACGCTTCTGGAAACCCGATATCAACGCCGTTTATTGGGTCGAGAGAAGGAACGGGAGGGAGTGACAGAGGTCGAAACGGAAATAGCAATAAAGAGTTCGCTATTCTGGATGTTTTGGTAACGGCGTTAAGGAAGTCGTTGGTGACATGCAGCGTGGAAAGAGAGGATGTTTCTTCCATGGATATAAGCTGGCCTACTGAAGTTAGGCACGTGTCTCACGTGACTTTTGATAGGTTTAATGGTTTCCTTGGTTTGCCTACGGAGTTTGAGCCTGAGGTTCCTTGCAAGGTCCCTAGCGCCAGGTTTAAATTTATTTATTTTTTTACTTCCTTTTCTTATGAAAAATTATTTGGAATAACTAGGTGGTGAATTATGAAAGAAAATAATTAGTAGATGATGTGATTAACTAAGAAAGCATAAAAATTATTTGAATATTAATTGCAAAGAAAATATATCATTTGGTTTCTTTTTTTTTTTTTTTTGAAGAAAACTTTTTTTCCCGTGCCTGGTGAGTATTTCAGGAGATGTAACAGTGTAATAGGATATAGGCTATAAATGATCCAAATAGCAATATAGCTTTTATAAGATTTTTTTTTTTTTTTTTTGCCCGAGCATGGTTAATGAAATAAGCAACTGTTACAAAGCTTCGGCAGTAGCAAGATCGCATGAAATCCTAAAAAATAAAGACCTGTTCTTGGACTGTTGATGTTATAAGAGAGAGCCTTCTTTTTTTCCCCTGTTGTAATTAATGGAGTTATTCATATTGGATGTCTTGGTTGAGATATGGACCTGTTTTATAAGAAAAGATTACGGCTGATATAAGGCAGGCTTGTGAAAATGTAAATTAATCATGTTTTTCGAGTAAGGATCTTTTTCAACGATTAGTTCAGCTCTGAAAGTAACTGAATTCATCAATATTTTCACTCAGGTAGAGGACAGTAAATGGCAAGTAGAAGACTTCTTTTTCCTCTTCCCTTTGACCAAATACAGTGAATGTCAGCATATGCCCACTGATGGTCTAGTTTGTAAGCGCACGCAAAGAAAATTTTTAGTTTGCATTGTTTTGTGGGGGTGTAGGATGAATACATGCACTGTTGGTTGTTTGATCCTTGTGGATTAGTAGTGATTTCGTTTTTGGTCATATGAACAATGGTTCAAGGGAGCTGATTTTGATACTGGAATGGAAGAATTACTTAAGATTTTGATTAAACATGGGATTTCTGCTAGTACTGGTTCTGATTCTTTGAATATTAAATTCCCTTGCATCAATTTTTAGTCCTGCTTCTTGGATTAGTCAACAGTGGATATCTTCTTGGCTTACACGATACATCGATCCTCTGTTTTCCAGTGCAAATGTATTTGGAGTTTCTGCCAAGTCGATGCAATGTTCTCATGATGACAAAGGGAACAGTGTGCCGACTATTCTTCTAATGATGCAAAAGCGTTTATATATGGAAGGAGGACTTAAGGTATGTTTATGTTCCCAATTTGCTTCAAAGGAAATTTATCTTCAGTCTGCTGCTTGCCATTTCTATAGTAAAAAACAAAAAAAAAAAAACTAGTATCGGTGCTGCTACTCGTCACTCCTGTACAAAATTGAGGCTTTTCTTTTCTGTGTTTGCTTCCAAGGCAGAAGGGATTTTCCGAATAAATGCTGAGAATGGTCGGGAGGAGTATGTCAGAAACCAGCTAAACAAAGGTGTAGTGCCTCGTGGAATTGAAGTCCATTGCTTGGCAGGTTTAATAAAGGTATGCCATATGACATGTTGACATTGTTTGACAAAATGGTCAGTAAATCAGCTGTGAGGATATGATTCTGTGTCTTCAAATTCTCACTGTTTCTTTTACCACTCTACATATATTCTTCGCTGGTTGCCAATATATTAGACATTTCACTTTATTTCATAATTAATCATATAATATCGTCACTTTGCCCCTTCCCCCCCCTTTCTGAACTGTAGGCTGCATATATTTTTTTTGTTATATCCAGGCATGGTTTAGAGAACTACCCTCTGGGGTGCTCGATTCTATCACACCAGAACAGGTAATGCACTGCAACACCGAAGATGACTGCACTCAACTTGTGAAGCAACTTCCTCTGACAGAAGCTGCACTACTTGATTGGGCAATCAATTTGATGGCAGATGTCGTGGAGCATGAACAGTATAACAAGATGAATGCACGCAACATTGCTATGGTTTTTGCACCCAACATGACGCAGGTTTGTTGAATTTGTATTAGTTGGTTCTAGTTGGTCGTTGTTGGAAAATTGCCCTCATGTTAAGCAGTATATTATTTTTCCATTAAATAATATCTATGATTGTGAATGAAAAAATGGATGGGCCACCTGCTTCTTTTGAATGATCACAAAAGATGACCGTATGTTCCATTAGCTCCTAGCATATGGACAACGGACTATTGACGAGAGCTAACAATCATCATTTCTAACTGATTTTATACACATTTAAATAGAACTCACGGATGCATGGGGTTTCACAAGCTGACGCTGTGGTTGTAACGAAGGAAATTCCCTTTTGTTTGCAAATACAAAACATTTTTTAGTTATTATCTAAGATGTAATCTTCCTATGATGCAGATGGCTGATCCTTTGACCGCATTGATTCATGCCGTGCAAGTAATGAACTTGCTCAAGACATTGATCTTAAAAACACTCCGGGAAAGAGAGGAATCCAGTGCAAAGCTTAGGTTGCTCTCGACGTGCTCAGATTCCCTAGGCGACAAGAGTGAACCCTGTCATTCAAACTTAAACAGCAAAGAATACTGTAAAATATCACTCAACGCTGGTGCATCTGAGATACCTTCCACTGGTAAGTTCTTGAGGTCTGCCACTATGAATAGATTAGAATCCAACACTGAGGAAAAATATTGGAGATTTCAGAAGAAGGGTGATGGAGAAGAGGAATTTAAGTCTGTTTCAAGTAGCAGCCCCCGTTTCTGTGAAATGGGCACCCTAGACAGTGGATGCAAAGGTGAATATGATAGTGGAGATTGGCTAAGTTTTAGAAAAGGGGTGAGGAGGCTATGCATACACCCTGTATTTCAGTTGAGTAAACCAGTTAAGAAGACTCGTGGTATTGGAATTGTAAATACTAGGGGAAGAGGCGGAGAAGCTTGGGCGTGATTTGTCAGTTGTTTCCCAGCTTGTACCAAATATATGATGAGTGCATGGTTGCTTGTCTAAAGATTGTTGTGGAATAGATGTCAGTGTTTGCTTAATTCAGTAGTCAGATAAAAAAAATCTCTAATTTGTATGAGGGCCCTAACTGCAGCTTTAGCTATATATATGAACAATAACTCTTGAGGGATCACCCTCACCTTTTATGATTCATTATTTTTCCCCCTCTTTCATAATCGTGTTGGAGGTTTTGACAGAAGGTTAAGGAAAATTATGCAGGTTTGACATCAACAGCTGTCTGAATCTGATGTGATGGGATTTCAAGGCCTAGAAGAGATGATAATGCCGCCGTATATTAGAGAGAAATCACTAGCTAGATGATTTGCCGAGGCAGAATGTCTAGTGTATTGAAAACGGACTGCTCTCCTCTATTTAGCTTCGTTTTAGGCCAGGAAGGTGGAAGACAGCTCAAAAGAATTTGGAAGGATAAGCTAATTCAATTTCCTTGTGGTTTGGATTGAATAATAAGGACGTCGTCACCCCAAATGTGATCTAGTTTTCTGTATATGTATACCTTAAACTGTAATGACACAAGTTACTGCAATAGTCAAAGTTTTAGGAGCACACAAGGAGAAACTTGTTTTCCATTCATCGTAGTTTAGTGGCAAGTAATAAAGAGGATTTGAAGTGAGCAGGAAGCCAGGATACATGTAACACAAGCAAGTCCGGTCCAGAAACAGTTGATGTTGGCAGAAAAGCAGGTCGGAAAATTCACATCCTGAAAACATCCCAGTTACCTGGCATTGGATTGGATTTGCAACGTCATTTTCCATGGAAGCTGATCGATATCGTGTAATCAAAACCACCTCATCTGGGGAGAAACCTGACTGTCTTAAGATATGATTAGGAAAGAACCTCGGTCTTCCATGCGCTTAAGCCCGTTCATGTAGCGGCAGCAGACATTTTCTACAACGCTATAGCTATAAATAAGGAGGACATTTTCGTTAAATGCATTTCATATATCACACAGAAATTTCAGAATGGCACAGAATTCTGAAACGATCTTGACTGATTTCGAAATGGGAATTACATTCTCCTATGTTTAGTTAGCCAGACCCGATCAACTAATTCTAGACCATGACAAGATCTTATGATCGGCTAGTTCTAGACGATCCCACAGAAATCCAGAAAGACATGATTTATTTTTTAAAATCACAGCTTTGGTGCCAGTCGTGGACAAGGCAGAGCAGGTCATAATGGATGTTCTGTAATGATCACAGCTTCGTTGCGTGCAGAATATGAAGGAATCCAATACCTAGAAATCTTATAAATTAGATATTATAATTGGTATTTGTATTAAGTAATTAATTTAAAACCATTGATTGCAAATACATAACACATAAATTCGGGTAAAAATGACAAATTTTGACACAAAAATAGAAAAATCCAATTTTTAAAATGTGTAATGTAAAAATGGTAACCAGCCTGCCACAGGAACCTCGCATTGAAAGGCCGAGGAGGTTGGATTCAACCAACCCAAGGCCACTACTCGGGTTTTCTTTAAGCTCTAAATAATTGGGCTTTTATTCTCATAAATGGATTACTCTGTATCGGCCCGATTTTTATTGGTTTTTAGCCCAAACTAAATACCCGGTCCCCCACCGTGTTTTTTTTAGTTACGATCTACCTTTAGGTGCTTTTTAAATTATTTTTTAACTGAAAAATACAATTTTTTAAATTTTTTTCTAAAAAAACACATTTAAAAAATATCCTGCAAATATTGTTCCAAGGGAAAAGTTCAAACTTGTTTTATGGAGTTTTTTCCAAGGAAAAAGCTAAACACGAATTATAAAGTTTATAATACATTGGTTTCACAAAAGCTCAGGAACCCTAAACCTAAACCATCTATAAATTCACAACCTATTTCTATTTCTCAAATGACATTTGACTGGAAGACTTGTTCAATTTTCTCTTCAATTCCTAAAGATCTTGTTCATTTTATATTTTATTTTTTTGAGATTAATATCTTGTTCATTTTTAATAGGTTTTCAGTCGAAGAAGGATGGCAGGAGTATCCTACCAGGGAATCGGCAATAAAACTGTTGCACGCAGACCCACCGTCTGCTTTATTCAAGACTTTCTTTCCCAGGATAGTTATGCTTCTCCTTGTGTGAACAGCACTTTTAAGCCTGTATGAGTCCGGCTGCCGGTGTAATTGTTCCTCTATCATTCTGAAGAATTAGTCATCAACAATTGCTTGCAACTTACCGACTACGGACTCAACTGTTTGACAATGAAAATATCAAATCTTAAGAAATTCAAGAGTGGATGTAATTATTTACATGATAAAATTTATCATAATCCGACTAAGGAATCGGTCAGCTGTGGTTTGATTTTTATGACCATGATAAGGTAAGATTCAAGCAGGACCAGCTATTCCATGCATAAAAAGTTAGGATAATGCGCGCGAGGTTATAGCCCAGTGATGGGAAGGGCTTGTCTCCTTTCTCTGTATCTAGGTTCGAGCTTTGGGTTCGAGCTTTATTGTATACGGTTGTTATCCTCGCGGTGCCTTACCTATTTATTGGACTTATAAAATATTTAGTAAGCCGTGAGAATTAGTTGTGGTACGTGTAAGCTAGTCCAAATACCTCACATAAATAAAAAAAAATTACTATAATTATTGAACTTGTCAATTTCCCAGAAAGAGAACCAACATCGCCCACGCTACTGTTTGAGTACGGCTGCAATGTGATTTTTTTTATTTCTTTTCTTTTCTTCGTGGGCGTCATTTTATGCGTGCTTAACTTGTACCAATGATTGCTACATTTCCTTTAAGAAAAACATTGACAAGGTATAAGAAGTTGAGGCTTTTTATTTTTGTGTTTAAAAAATATTTTTGAAATTTTTTTAATATTTTTTGTTTTATAATTTTGTATTATTTTGATATATTCATGCTAAAAATAAATAAATAAATATTTTTAATATATTATTAAATAAAAACATTTTAAAAAATAATTATTACAACAATTTTAAACACCTAGGCTGCAATTCAATGCCAAAACCTGCACGCCACCCTTTATTTATATAAAAGAAAAGCGACATAAGCTTGCAAGCACAAGTAAAATATGAATAAAAGAAAAGCTAGATGCATGTAATTGGATTTTATTTATTTATTATATTTTCAAATAGATTTCAATCCCGAATGATTAATAGCAGACTCCAGATTCTGCTAAATGGTTTTTAACTAACGCAAACGGCATTCCAGCTTGTCTAACTAAAGAATAAACTAATGTCTGTGTCGCTCAAAGTGAGATATTACCTCATTTGATCACTCAAGAAATCAAATCCCTAAAGTATTCTTGCGCAAAAGAGAGAGAATTATCAAGACGCCCGATATCGTGAATATATATGACATAAAGATGAATATATTTCATTTAGCTAGATTCGGGAGGCATGGCCAAATTTACCAAGAGATTATGTGTGCCATCTCTCCTGTGTTTTCTATTCCTGGTTGTTAAATTGACGTTATCGGGAGAGAAAATAAAATAATCAAAGTGGGGAGCTCTTCTTACAATTCTTAAATAAAAACTGTAACAAGTATCTTTCCTAACAATTTTAGCCTTTCTTGTATTAATTAACAAGGATTTAAGAAATCGAAAAATCATGTGATGTAGGTCAATCCTATTATGTATGGGATTCGGATGATTTTAAAAAGGGATTGGAAAGATGACAATTATTAGTGTAGTTTGTAATGAAATTGAAAAATATAAAGTTTATCCTATAAAGTTTTTCCAAAGTGTTAATAACCTGGAATTGAAGTAATGTAATAAATAAATGAGTGCAATGGTGGGTGGGTATTTTCTTGGAGGATATCAAATGTCTGTTTGGCACTCTTACTATAGGTGAATGTAGATGAGATTGATTATATATTACAGATATTAATATTTGATTAAATTAAAAAATAAAATTATTTTTGAGTGGAATTTATCAAACACTGTATCTCAAGTTAATAAAAACAAAAAATTACTGCTTTTACTTGTGTTCCGTTTCTATATGTAGAGTGAATAATTCACTATACAGAACTGAGTAAAGTGAGTTTTTAATTCACTTTTTAAAGTGAGTTAAAAACTCACTTTGCAATAGTTCTGCTTATCCATTGTTAATGGTTGGGCCGGGATTTAGCATGAACTTAAATATATTGAATTGCATCCGATTTAGTAAAAAAATTAATTTTTAAAATTTTAATTATATTTTATTTTAAAAATTATTATTTAGTATTATTCAATAATACTGCATTAATTAAAAAGAGATCGCATAATAGTGTAATATTTATAGAATTTGATCGTAATCCCAATTTTGTTCCTGATAATATTTTATCTGATTTTATTGCACGCTCAAAAAACCATGAAAACTATAGTTCTTGTCAGATAAATTTATACAAAATATTATTTATTTTATAATGTAATAGCAGTAGTTAAACCAATAGTATTTAAATTAAAAATCCTCAATATTAATATATATCTTTTTTAGTTATTTTATAACCTCAAGTTGAAAAATATTCTTAACTAAATACATTAAATTACTTTTTATTCAACATTAATTTCAATCACAGTTTTAACCAAATATATATAAATACAAAATCAACTTCAACCAAAAATATTTTTTATAAAAATAACTTTTTTTAAATTATAACTACAAAAATTACCACATTACCAAACACATAACAATGTACCTCTTAATGAGTCTTTTATATGAATATCAATGATATCACTATAATGACTTTTGGCACTTGATTCTTTTAAAGAATTTATTTTTAAAAAAACTGTAATTAGTTAATTTATTAATAGATGATTATTGAAATTAAATTGAATATAAAATATTCAATTAATATAAAAAAATAAAATTTTTCCTTAAATTTTTCTATTTTATTGTATTGTTTCAGGTTTATTTTGTCCTTCTTCTTATTCTATAAATAAGACTTGTTTTTATATATAATTAACATGTACTAAATCATATTTTCTCTTGTCTTTCTTCTTATTCTAGTTTATACAGCCTTAGTTATACTTTGAAGATATTATTTTTATATAAAAAAATAAACATTTACAAAATTATTTTTACCACATTTTTAAGCCAAATTAATTTTTGTATTTCTTTATCTCCCTCTCGAATTACTTCAATAACAACAATTGTATGGACTGGCTTACCAAT